GCCAACAAACACACGAAGAAATGCTCACGGTCATTAGCCGTCAGAGATGCAATTCAAAATAACGAGCTAGCATCTCAGCCCTGCACTAATAGCAAAGTCCACAGAAATGGAAAGCTACAAACATTGGTGAGGGTGTAGAGGTGTGGGGGGACTGGAGCCCTCATACACTGACGGTGGGGCTGTGACATGGTGCAACCAATGTGGAGAACAGTAGGGTGCTTCCTTAAAAAGCTGGACACAGAAATGCCACATGCCCCAGCATCCACTACCAAGTATATATGCTAAAGAAAGCAGAGCTGTGACAGGAGCAGAGGCGTGCACACCCGTGGTCGTCGCAGCACTATTCCCAAAGGCAGAGAGACGCAGACAAGCCGAGTGCCCAGCTGCGAGGGAACGAACCCACACACTGGCCCCCACACATGACGGGACCTATGCAACGCTAGAGAACAGCGACAGTCTGCAAAACATCTCACAACGTGGGTGACCCTGGAGGGCGCTCTGCTGAGTGAAGTCGGTCAGTCACCAAAGGACAGGTACTGCATGAGAAAAACTATTGTAAAATGTCAAGAAAAGAGTTTCACACACACAAAAAAAAATTATTTGATGGTGACTAGGGCTGGGGAGAAAGGGAAAGTAAACCTCTAACTGGAGTTGTTGTTGTTAGGTGCTGTGGAGTCGTTTCCGACTCATAACGACCCCATGCACAGCAGAACGAAACACTGCCCGATCCCGCGCCAGCCCCACAATCCCTGCTATATGTGAGCCCATCATCGCAGCCACCGTGTAAATCCATCTCGTTGAAGGCCTCCCCCTCTTTCGTCGACCCTCCACCCTACCAAGCATGACATCCTTCTCCAGGGAATGGTCCCTTCTTACAACATGACCAAAATAGGTGAGACGAAGTCTGGCCATTCTTGCTTCAAGGAGCATTCTGGCTGCACTTCCTCCAGGACAGATCTGTTAGTTCTTTCAGCAGTCCATGGTACTTTCAGCATTCTTTGCCAGCACCACAACTCAAAAGCATCAACTCTTCTTCAGTCTTCCTTATTCATTGTCCAGCTCTCACATGCATACGAGGCGATTGGAAATATCATGGCTTGTGTCAGGCGCACCTTAGTCCTCAAGGACACATCCTCGCTCCTCAGCACTTGAAACAGTTCCTTCATGGTTGACCTTCCCAATGCTACACATCATCTAATGTCCTGACTGCTGCTTCCATTGGCATTGATTGTAGAACCAAGCAACGTGAATTCTTTGACAATCTCAATCTTCTCTCCATTTATTGTGATGCTGCTCATTGGTCCAGTTGTGAGGATTTTTGTTTTCTTTATGTTGAGATGTAATCCATGCTGCAGACTGTATTTTTCAACCTTCATCAGTAAGTGCCTCAAGTCATCCTCACTTTCAGCAAGCAAAGTTGTATCGTCTGTGTATCTCAGGTTGTTAATGATTCTTTCTCCAATCCTGATGCCACGTTTTTCTTCATATAGTCCAGCTTCTCGGATTATTTGCTCAGCATATAGATTGAATAAGTGTGGGGAAAGGATACAACCCTGACACACTCCCTTCTTGATTTTAAACCATGTAGTGTCCCCTTGTTCCGTTTGAATGACAGCCTCCTGGTCAAGGTACAGATTCCTCATGAGTACAATCAAGTGTTTGGGAATTTCCATTCTTCTCAATGTTATCCATAATTTGTCAAGATCCACACAATCAAATGCCTTTGCATAGTCAATAAAACACAAGTAAACATCTTTCTGGTATTCTTTGCCTTGAGCCAAGAACCATCTGACAACAGCTATGATATCCCTTGTTCCACGTCCTCTCCTGAATCCGGCTTGAACCTCTGGAAGTTCTCTGTCAATATACTGCTGCAACTGTTTTTGAATTATCTTCAGCATGATTTTACTTGCGTGTGATATTAATGATATTGTTTGATAATTTCCACATTCTGTGGGATCACCTTTCTTTGGAATGGGCACAAATATGGATCTCTTCCAGTCAATTGGCCAGGCAGCTGTCCAAATCTCTTGGCATAACTGAGTGAGTGCCTCCAATGGGGCATCTGTTTGTTGAAATATCTCAATGGGTACTCCATCAATTCCCAGAGCCTTGTTCTTCGCAAATTCTTTCATTGCAGCTTTGACTTCCTCCTTCAGTATTATTGGTTCTAGATCATATGCCACTTCCTGAAATGGATGAAGATCAACCAGTTCTTTTTGGTACAGTGACTCTGTGTATTCCTGCCATCTTCTCTTGATGTTTCCTGCATCATTCAATATCTTGCCCATAAAATCTCTCAATATTGCAACTCAAGGCTTAAATTTTTTCTTCAGTTCTTTCAACTTGAGAAATTCTGAGTGTTTTCTTCCTTTTGGTTTTCAAACTCCAGGTCTCTGCACATTTCATTATAGTAATTGGCTTTGTCTACTCGAGCTGCTCTTTGAAATCTTCTGTTCAGCTCCTTTATCTTGTCATTTCTTCCATTTGCTTTAGCTACTCTCCACTCAAGGGCAAGTTTCAGAGTCTCTTCTGTCATCCATTTTGGTCTTCTTTTCTCGTCTTTTTAGTGATCTCTTGCTTTCTTCATGGATAATGTTCTTGAAATCCTCCCATAATTCTTCTGGTTTTAGGTCATTGGTGTTCAATGCATCAAATCTATTCTTTAGATGATCTCTACATTCAGGAGGGATATATTCAAGATCATATCTTGGCTCTCTTGGACTTGTTTTAATTGTCTTTAACTTCAAGTTGAACTTGCATATGAGCAGTTGATAGTGTGTTCCACAATCAGCTCCTGGCGTGGTTTCGGCTGAAGATATTGAGTTTTCCACCGCCTCTTGCCACAGATGTAGTCAATCCGATTCCTGTGTGTTCCACCTGGTGAAGTCCACATGTAGAGCCGCTGTTTGTGTTGTTGAAAAACGGTGTTTGCAATGAACAAGTTGTTGGTCTTGCAAAATTCTACCATACAAGTTCCAGCATTATTTCTGTCGCCAAGGCCAAATTTTCCAACTACCGGTGATTCTTCTCTGTTTCCAACTTTTGCAGTCCAGTCCCCAGTGATATTAACACACCCTGATTGCATGTTTGGTCAGTTTCAGGCTGCAGAACTAACTGGAGGGGAGACACCTATTCACTGGGGTGAAGGGGAAGGAAAGGAAAAAGGGAAGTGGAGATTGAAGCAGGCATTTCACACACACAGATGAGATGAATCAGCAAAGTCTCATGCTTTAATCCTTTAAACAAACAAACACAAGCTATAAGCAGCCAGAAAAGTAAAGGGGGAGGGGTGGCCCAGCTTGAAGAGTGTCATCAGCGCCACTGAACCCGCAGGGAGAAACTGCTGAACTCTGTGTTTGTCCTGTGTGTATTCTCAACGGCAACGAAAATCAGATACATTATATATTTTTGAAGAAACTACAGAGCAATTCTGTTGTGTACACGTAGGCTCACCATGAGTTGGACTTGACCCAAAGCAACGAACAACATAGAAACCCTTACTTTTTTTTTTTTTTTTCTTTTTTCTTAATTTTGTTTATTTTGTTGTGGTCACAGCAAAACACACACCCATTCAACCGTTTCTCCATCACAACTCAGGGACACATCCCTCGAACTGGACAGCCACTGGCGCCTACCTTCCTGAGCGGCTCCTCCCCCACGAAGGTGAACTCACTGCCCCCTCAGCTTCCTCTCTGGCCCTTCCAGCTCCTTTTAATCATTGCTCTGCACCCAGGTTTCCTTATTTGTACAAGTAGGTAGCCCCACACCACACTGCCCGGCCACCTCCACAAGCCCCACCTCCCCCTTCCGCAGGTGCTAAATATATACGTAACAGAACTTTTGATTCAACGATCCTCACATATCCGGTTCAGTGACATTACGTCCCTCTTGCTGTTCAGCCGCCACTCCTACCAGTTCCCAGATTGTCCATCACCCCTCACCAAAGTCCAGGTGCGCAGGCTTGGAGTGCCTCCTCCCGCCCCTGGTTGTGGTTGTGGTTGTTGGGTGCCATTCAACTTTTGACTCACCGTGACCCCACGTGCCAGCCCGGAGTTTCCTAGGCTGCCATCTTTACGGGAGCGGATCACCAGGTCTCTCTCCAATGGAGCTGCTGGGGGGATTCAACTGTCAGCCTTTTGGGTGTCCACTCAGTGCTAAACACTGCCCCCCAGGACTCATCCCAGCCCTGATGACCACCCAGAAGTTCCGGTTTCTGTGCGTTTGCCTGTTCTGGCTGATTGCTGTAAGTGTTTGTGGCCTTTTGTGTTGGGTTTCACTCAGCCTGATGCTGAGAGAACCATTTCCTTCGGGGTCTTTGCCCACGCTGTTCCTTCTGCCTGGAATGCTGTTCCCTTTACTTCCTGTCCTGTGGGACCAGACTGGGGAAGTGCAGCAGAAGGCCCCACCTCTTTAGCCTCGGCCTGCGGTCAAACAGTTGCTCAGACATTTCCTGTTCTTGACATTGGGGCAGACACCCCGGGAAGCCTGTGGCTGCAGCTACAGGCAGTTAGTCCCCCAAGGACAGCCCTCTGCCAGTCACTTGTGACCTGTTCCAGACACCTGTCCCAAAGGTAGGAGGGCTTCTAGAGGGTGGGTTGGGCCAAGGAATGGCAGAAGGGGCATTTTCTGAATTTGGGGTGAGCTGGAGTTGAGGAGCTGGGGGGCCGAATTCTGTGGTGAGGTGCATGGCCCTGCCTTTCATCACCCACCCACAGCCGTGCCCTGGCAACCTGGTCTGGGGGCTGGCTGGCTGTCCACGTACGTGGAGGGCTGACGGTGACATCCTTGTGTCACACATGAGGGATGACCTCAAAGAGACTACAGAGCAACCAGGGCGCCACAGCAGGGAAAGGAGGCAAGAGAGCCAGAGGGGGAGTTCCCGGCTCTCACCTAGGGTCCCGCTTTCTCCCCACCGTGATCTCTGCCCACATCCGCCCACATGTGGACACTCCCACGCACCTACCACACGTGCCCCGACTCCAACCTTCCCCTGCAGCATGAACAGCCCCGAGTCGTCCACCGAGACCGCCTTGGCCAACACGCCCACTTGGTCAACACAGCCCACATACAGCAACCTTGGTGAGTGGCCTGCGGAAGGGGGAGGTGGGGCTTGTGGAGGTGGCCGGGCAGTGTGGTGTGGGGCTACCTACTTGTACAAATAAGGAAACCTGGGTGCAGAGAGGACAGCCACCTGCCAGGAGCCACACAGGAAAACAGTGTGTCACCAGGTGTCACCTAGTGGTAGGCAGGACTGTCTCTCCTCTGAGCCCATTTCCTCATCTGTGAACTCAGGACGGTGTTGATGCGCTGTCTCGGTTCCCTACTGTGCTGTAACAGAAATACCACAGGGGGTGGGTTTATCAAACAGAACTTTATTTTCTCACGTGTCGGGGCGCTGGCTCTAGAGAAACGTTTTCTCTCTGTGGAGTCTGGGAAGGCCCTTGTCTCTTCAGCTTCTCTTCCCTGGTCCTTGGAAGTCTCCACGTGGCCTGGCACCTCTCTGCCCCATCTCTGCTGGCCTGTCTACTCCTTTCATACGCCTGCAAAAGGCCAGAGGGACCGGGACGAGCGAGGAGGCAGCCGCAGGGATCCAGGGGAGGCGAGGGAACCCAGGCCACGCCCCACAAGCAGCAAGGCAGGAAGGCAGGGAGAGGACAGAGAAGACCAAGGGGACCGGGTCAGAGCGAGGAGGCAGCCGCAGGCATCCAGGGGAGGGTGGCTGGAGAGGTTTCCAACAGCTGAGGGAGACAACCTTGTCTGTCGGTCTGTCCTACTGTGGTGACGTGTTGCTGTGAGTCTTGAGGCTGTGCCACTGGTGTTTCAAACCCAGCGGGGTGCACGTGGTGCACAGGTATCAGCCTGGCTTGCAGACTGAGACAGACTAGGAAGAAGGAGGAGGCCGTCTACTTCGCAAAGAATTGGCCAGGGAAAACCTTATGAATAGCAGAGGAGCACTGTCTGACACATTACCGCACAACTTTATGAATACCCTGTAGAGACTGACTCAAAACACAATCTTGAGTCCTGCCCCTTCCTAAATGGGATTACAACCACGTGCATGGGGTCAGATTTACAACTCCTCTCATGGGGCCGAATGCCAGGGCTTCAGACAGCAGAACTTCTCCCTCTCACGTCTGGAGGCCTGAGGTCTAATGTGAAGGGCTAAGTGCAGCCTGGGGGCAGGCTTTCCTTGTCTCTCCCACTCCTGGTGGCACCAACATTCCTGGGCTTGTGGCCATAGCACTCCACCCTGTGCCTTTGTCCTCCCATGGCCATCCTCCCCGGTGCAAAGTGCCTTCTCCTTTCTCTTACAAAGACAACCACCACTGGGCCTAGGGCCCACACTATTCCAGTAGGAATTGCTGGGTGGTGTAAACGTTAATGCCATCGGCTGCTGACCAAAAGGTTGGCAGTTCAAGTCCCTCCCAAGTAAAGGCCTGGCACTTACCTCTGCAAACCCCATGGGGCACAGCTCTCTTCTGACACACGTGGGGTTGCCGTGGGTCATCCCTGATTCAGTGACAACTAGTTTTTTGTACTTTACCCTGGTAGCACAGTGCCTAAGGCATTTGACTCCTAACTAGAAGGTTGGCGGTTCAAACCCACCAGCCACTCTGGGGAAGGAAGACTGGGTAATCTACTTCCATAAAGATTTACTGCCTCAGAAACCCAAAGGGGGTCGCTATGAGTCAGAATCGACTTGATGGCAGTGAGTTTGAGTTTTTTGGCTTTTGTTTAATGACAGCTGCAGAGACCGTTATTTCCCAGCAAGGTTGTGTTCACAGGTACCAGGGTTCAGGACTTTGGTATGTCTTTTGGGGGTACCTACTTCAACCCAACACACCATCCCTATCCCATAGGGCATGGGGGGAGTCGGATACCATTATACCCCCATTTCAGAGATGGGGACATTGAGGTCAAGGGGCAGGGTCAAGTGTCCTGGGTCCTACTCATCGACGTCCTCACCACCCACCCTCCCTCCCCAACAGGTGAGATCCGGGCCCACCTGCTGCCCTCCAAGGCCTGCCGCCCCCGAACACCCGAGTACCTCTCAGCCAACCGACAACTGCAGCCCCCACCCTTGCCCAAGAAGACCCTGACGCGAACCCAGTCCCTGCCCACCCACGGGACCCCTGGCCTCAGCCCCGCCCATGCCAGGCAGCCTCGGAGGCCCCTCCTGGAGTCCCGTAGCGTGGGCGGGAGCCAGGAGGGCAACAAGGCGGCCAGCCCAGCCAGGCCCCTAGCAGAACTGACCTTCAGCACCCCCGATGCTGAACTGGGCTGCTTCTTCCAAGACCTGCACGACCTGGACGCTGTGCATGCCACACTCGCCACCCGGCAGCTGGCCGGCCTCGGCACCATCCACGGCCGGCTCCGCGCCCGACTTGAGGGGGGCCGCCCTGGGCCCTGCCACCCCAGCCACGGCTTCCGCCTCCTGGACAGCTCACCCTACGTGGACAGCGGAGATGCCTTCTACTACCGTGTGGTGCGGGTGGACGAGGACGCCTGGCACATCCTGGCTGCCAAGGTGAGCACAGGCCGCTGCATGGCTTTATGGTACCCAGCTTTGTGGTCCCTCATACTTTTCCATCTTAGGCCTAACCCATGATCCATGACCCGTGACCCATGTTCAGGGGTGGGACGAGATGTGGGGGTGCAATGTTTAATCACTTAGTGGACAACCAAAAGGTTGACAGTTTGAACCCACCCAGCGGCTCCGTTGGAGAGAGACTTGGTGATCTGCTTCTGCAAAGTCACGGCCAATGAAGTGAAGCTGGAACAGCCCTGAATTGTAAAATGTAGTTGAACCAATATGATACCCAGAACAGGAAAGATCACAGGTTGACGTCCTGCTCAAAACATCACCTCCTTCTTAGAAAACAGGCAGCTGCATGCCCACTGCATAGCAACCAAATCTCTTGACCGACGGAGTCAGAAACAGTGTTGCCCTGTTCAAAGATGGCATCCAACTGCTCCACTCTGAATGTGTGTTGCTCTGCACAGTCCTGGCAATAATCCAGTCTCTGTATTAGGCTCCTGAAAGGGCTCACTATGCCTCTTCCGCGTCTCCCTTTCTAGGGCTTTGACCTGTTCCAGCTATTGTCCGCTTCACCTACATTTTAAAAATTTGGGTCCGTTCTAATTTTTTTTTGCCTCAGCCATGGATGAACTGGTTCAAACGAGTTTGAAGGCCTGGTTTTCAGTGGCCATTTTTTCAAAAGTGCTCACCAGGCCTTTCTTTGGAGGTGCCTGTAGTTGAGCTTGGTCCTTCAGCCTTTGGGTTAGTGGTCAAGCTGTTCGTACCAGCCAGGGACTCAGGCCAGGCTTATGGGCTTATTCTGTAGCTAACACCTGAGGTGACAGCCTTGGTACTGAGTTTCTCAAGCATGGGGGGTCACCGACATTTGAATCATTGGGAGCCTCATTAAAACCCCCTCCCCACAGTCTCAGGGGCTCAGGCATCTGCATTTTAGCTGACTCTCTGGGTCGGTTCTGGGCGCATCCAAGTTAGAAGGCTACCATTAACCCGCTGCAGCCAGCCGACAGCTCCCACCTTAGATACTAATAATCATCACAGCTCGTGTAGGCCGAGGGTTCCTTTTTGCCTTGCGTCGTCCTAAGGAATTTCAATGCCATGTGCTCATTCCACCGTCATGCCAACTTCACCAGGTGAGCGCCACACGTCATAATAGCGTGCCCCTTCTGGTGGCATAGTGCCTAAGGCATTTGAGCTAACCAGAACATTGGCATTTCAAACCCACCAGCCACTCCATGGAAGGAAGACTAGGCAATCTGCTTCTGTAAAGATTTACTGCCTCAGAAACCCAAAGGGGGTCACTATGAGCCAGAATCAACTCAATGGCAGTGAGTTTATGTGCCACTAAGAACAACAATTATTCCTATTAAACAAAACAGACCAACTATAAGATGCATCACCATTTTGGAGTGACACGGTCAACGTGACAGAATGTAGGAACTAGGAGTCCATTTTACAGAGCCGGAGTGCGGAGGCCGGGGCTGCAGCGGGCTGCGGGTTCCTTAACTGACAGCTCGCCGCCCAACACCAAGGCTGAGGTCCTGGAGCACCTGGCAGGCTGTTTGAAAAGACTAGCAGGACATCCTGGGGCTGCTGTAACAAAGGACCACAAACCGGGCGGCTCAAAACCACACACATTCATTCTCTCACAGTCTGGAGGCTGGAAGGCTGAAATCAGAGGGTCAGCAGAGCCGGGCGTCCTCCACAGCCTCAGGGGGAGGGTCCTTCTTGCTTCTTCCAGCTTCCGGAAGATGATGTTCCTTGGCTTGTGGGAGCATCCCTCCCTCTCTGCCTGTGTGGCCGCAGGGCTGTCTTCCCTCTGTCTGTCTGGGTCTCTCTTTTTATGAAGACCCCACTTACTCTGGTGCACCTGGGCGGTGCAGACGCGGAACACACTCACTAACTGGGAAGCCGGAGGTTTGGGTCCACCGGAGGCACTCAGAAGAAAGGTCTGGTGATCTACTTCAGAAAGCCCTGGGACAGACATGCTCACATGGGTGGGCATGAGCTGAAGTCGGCACCATGACCCCTGCCTCGGTTTCCTTATTGGATTTAGGACCCGTCCCACTGCAATATGCCCTCATGTTAACTGATAACAGTTCAAAACAAGGTCACGTTCACAGGCACCTGGGTTCAAATCTGGGTTTGAACTGCCAGCCTTCTAGTTAGCAGTCAAATGCCCTAGGCACTACGTCCTCAGCGCTGCTTCCATAAAGATTACAGTCTAGGAAATTTCATGGGGAACTCCTACTCTGTCATATGGGGTCATTAGGAGTCAGAATCAACTTAATGGCACCAACAACTCATCGAGATGATAACATTCTGCACATATTGAGCCCGATAAAATATATTATTAAAATTGCTTCCATCTATTTCTCTTCCCTTTTTTTTTTTTTTTGAAAGTGACTACTGGAAAGTTCTAAACCGCATGCGTGGCCTCACTGTATTTGTACTTTATTTACTATTGGAGAGCTCTGCTTGGGTGTGGAGCTGACGGCCCACTCCTTATCAAATAGTAACAACCCGGCCCCTGAAAGCAGGAAAGAGACCCCACAGCCACCGTCCCCCCTGCTTTAAAATACCAGCTGCCTTGGAGTCACCTCCAACTCCTGACACCCCATGTGCGTCAGAGAGGAACTCTGCACCACAGGGGCCACAGTGGCTGGTTTTTCAGAAGCAGACAGCCAGGACTTTTCTCTGAGGTACCTCTCAGTTGACTCAACCCTCCAACCTTTAGGCTAGCAGATTAGTGTGTTACTGTCTGTGACACTCAGAGATCCCCCAGCCCAGCTTACAAAAAAAAAATTATTAGGTATGTCTATGAAGCATATGAATTATGCATATGAATTCATGTCTATGAATTATAGTACAAAGGGAAAAAAAACACAAGTGTACCCATGACCACATACAGGGTGGGCAGACAATGGTCCTATAAGTGTATTTGTATGATCTGAATTCCCGGGTGTATAGTAGAGCTGACAAGGGACAAGGTTGTAGTCACTTCTTGGCCACAGCCAGCTACCCAGAGGAGCGAGTAGTTGGACCTGTGGGCTCAGGACCATTGTTGCAGGGGACATCAAATTCAATTGGCACAACATACTACACAAAACATTGTTCCACCTCTTACTTTGGCGAGTAGTGACTGGGATCTTAAAAGCTTGCAAGCAGCCATCTAGATGCAACGATGGGTCTCTTCTCATCCAGAGCAAAGAAGAATGAAGAAAACCAAAGATTCATGGAAACAATTAGTCCTGGTGACTGGTACACCATGCAATCTGCAGCCTATACGACTACAAGAACAGAAGAGCTAGATGGTGCCCAGCTACCACTGTCAACCACTCAGAGGGGGATCTGTGTAGGAGATCCTGGATAGAGAGGGAGGACAATGTGCAACAAAACTCAAAATAATAAGAAAGGACCAGGTTTGCTGATCTGATAGAGCCTGGTGGAACCACTGAGACTATGGCCCCTAGCTGCCCTTCAGGTCTGGAATTGAACCTACACCTGTGGCTTCCAGCCAAACAAAAGACAGGCATATGAGCTGAACATTTACCTGAGGTAGATACACCCCCTGGAGAGAACAATCATGGGAGAAAGAAGGGCTGTTTATGCACAGGGAGACAGTTCAGGGGGCAGGAGTGCATGGAGGGATGGACACCGGTAAGAGGTAACTATCAGGAGGAATTGGGAAGGGAGCTGTTGCATTGGGGTAAATTGTAGTCAATGTCATTGGACAAAGTGTATGTAAACTGCTGTACGGAAAGTGAATTTGCTCTGTAAACTCACCCAAACAACAATTTAAAAAAAAAAAAAATTATAGTACAAAGAGAAAAAACAACCACAAAACATTGCTATTGAGTTGATTCCATTGATTCCAATTCACAGCGCCCCTAGAGGGCAGAGTGGAACTGCCCCACAGGTTTCCAAGGCTGTAATCTTCATGGAAACTGACTGCCACATCTTTCTCCCATGGAGCAGCTGGTGGGTTCAGACTGCCAACCTTTTGTTTAGGTTAGCAGCTGAGTGCTTAACCACTGCACCACCAGGTCTCCTTCTCTCTAGTCTGTTGTTGTTGTTGTTGTTGTTGTTGTTATGTGCCATTGAGTCGGACCCGACTCATAGCAACCCCTCCTTGGATTTCCGAGGCAGTATCACTACGGAAGTAGATTGACCCATCTTCCTTCCGAGGAGTGGCTGGTGGGTTTGAACTGCCAGGCTTCTGGTTAGCAGTCAAGTGCCTTAGGCACTACACTACCAGAGCTCCTTCTCTCTCCTTAAAGTCTTCGTTCATTGGTGACTAACATTCAAATTAATGAACATTACCCACTGAGTGGTACTGAAGAAGAAAGGCCTGGCAATCTGCTTCTGTTAAGATGGCAGCCAAGGAAACCCTGTGGGGCACAGCTCCACTCTGGGAAGGGTTGCTGTGTGTCAGAATCACCTCTAGGGCAACTAACAACAACAAACATCTGAATGAATTAACACATGAGTTGGGATCTACTCCTTAGCAGTGGTTTGGAGGGGGTTTTTTTGTTTTTGTTTTTCTGTAGCAGTTGGAGGCCCTAGGAGTCGGTAGGGGCAGCTAGTCAGGGGGTCTGGGGGAGGTTTCAGGGTAGGTACAGCAGTTGAAGCAAGCTGTGCAGGTTGAGGAACTTGGGAAGGTCCTGACGGCCTCCTCTGCCTCACAGGTGCCCAAACCAGAAGCCGAGGTCCCTGACGCATGGGGCCTGGAGCTGCAGGCCTCGCTGCCCCCTCACTTCAACCTCCAAGGTCTGTGCGGCCTGATACCCGAGCACGCCCTGCCCTCCGCGCCCTGGCGAGCTCCGGTGGCGCTGGTGGCTGAAGTGCCCGAGCGCACGGTGGCCCAGTGGCTGGCGGAGTTCGGTGCGCAGCGGCCCCCAGAGTTCGCCCGGACCGCAGCCCTGCTTCTGCTGCAGCTGAGCGCGGCCCTGGAACACCTGGAGGTACGAGGCGCGGCCCTGGCCGAGCTGCGGCCTGAGAATCTGCTGCTGACCACGCCGCGGGGCTGCACGGCCACCGGGCTGCCGCGCCTGCTGCTCGCAGACTTCGGCCGCGTGCGTCCGCAGCCCACCAGGCCCCGGGGTGCCCACGCGCTGCCGCTGGCTGGCCTGCTCCGAGCACTGCTCGGCCCCGCGGCCACGCCCCCAGTCATGCCCCTGGCTGCAGGTCTCCAGCACCTGGCGGCCCAGCTGCCTCGCCTGAGGCCCTCGGCAACCCAGACTCGGGGCGTGCTGCAGGCGCTGCTCTGGGGGCCCGGACCTGCGTTTTGCGGCCACGGGGCACCTCTGGGGTCCTGGCTGCGGGTACGTCGCACGCTGTTGGGCCTGCGTCTCGCAGAACAGACGGCGAGCGGGGAGGTGCCAGGCCTGGAGGACTGGCTGTGCTGTGAGTACCTGGCCGAGGCCACCGAGGGCACCCTGGCCCGCGCCCTGGCGCTGTTGTGGTACTGACCGCCCCGGGAGCAGACCTTCCGCTTGCGCCTCTCCTAGAGTTGACGCTCCTTTCCAGGGCTGAAGCTGGTGGCCTGGGTCTTCACAGCAGCACGGACGCCCCCTTCCGGCGCAGGCTGGCAGGCAGTGCAGGGTCTGAGCAGTGACTTCGGGGCACTGTGCAAGCCCCCACTCCTCCAACACCCGCACTTTCTCATGCTGGGGACTTCGGGTTCCCCAAAAGGGCAGTGTGCCCCTTCCAGGGTGGGGTCCAACGGCCAGTGTGTCCGGAGAGTAGCCAGGGCCCTTTGCCCACTTCCAGGTGCGGACACCTCAGTCCCTTGCCCCAGGGGTTTCCTGAGGAGGGCGGACTACCTGGGTTCTGCGCCAGCCCCTTGAGGAGCCCCAAACCTTCCCATCATTCCACATGCCCTGCTGCCCCACCCTGCACCCTCTCTGGCCTCCTTGCTGCATCTCTATGACACCTTAACTCCTGCCTGGCATCTGAGCCTTTGCAGGGGCTGTTCCCTTCCCAAACAGCTCACATCTCACCCTCCAAGGAAACCAAGTTCCCCGTGCTGGCGGCAGGCTGACCCCTCACTTGGCCTGGGAGGGTCTCTTCATTGGTGGATCTGCTTACCATTCTCTCCCTGCAGGGGATGGCAGGCACAGGGTCCGGTACAGACTATGATGTCAAGGGGCCCTTGGGAGAGACTAGGGTTTCAGTTGACACCTCTCAGAACTGGACACAGGCGCCCCGAGGGCCCTGCTCCCCTCCCCTGGGGCCTGCCTCTCCCACAGTATCCACATCCTGTGGGGGATCTTTCTCACCCTCAGGTATGATCAGGCGCCTCTTCCATTCGAATGCCCCCCGTGGCTGTCTAGTGCCCTCCTTAGGCTTTTCCCCACCACCCTGTCCCATGACACCGCTGGTCCTTGGAGGTGCTTTGTGAACTCCAGGCCTCCATTCCTCCCACTGGAAGCAATCTCCCACCTACTTTCTCTGCTTCAAATTCCTACTCACCCTTCAACCTCCCAGCTCTAATGCCCCCTTCTCTGCCCTTGCCCAGTGGCATTACTAGGGATGTGTGGGGGTGCAAACTGCACCAGGTGACACTGTCAGGGTGACACCAGAATGACTGTCTCTAAAATTTGTGCAGTGTTTCAGCAGAAATGTTGTTTTAAAAATATATATATCCCTGTAGTTATAAACCAATGACATTTCTCGTAAGCCCGGCTTACGTGTATCAGTATGCCTAACGAGGCTGAAATTCTATGCTCATTGATTTTTGAACCTTCTAATGTGCTCTGGCGGAGCTCTGGTGGTGCAGTGGTTAAAGCACTCAGCTGCTAACTGAAAGTTGATGGTCCAAACCCACCAAGGGAGAAAGATGTGGCAGCCTGCTTCTGTCTAGATGTACAGCCTTGAGAACCCTGTAGGGCACGTCCACTGTATCCTATAGGTCGCTGGGTCAGAACTGGCTCCACCGCGGCAGTGGGTTCAGTTTGCTTTTGAGTAATGCGCTCCGGCCAGGTCCGTCATTCTCTCCCAATTACAATGAGGCATCGAATCACGTGGTCTCATCCCCGCCTACTACAAGCGCCTGCCTTTGTTCTCACTGCCGCCAGTGCTTTCACTGCAGTCGCTGATTCTGTCAAATTTTCTGGTGTTCCAGCCACATTAGTAAAGCAATTAATATCATATCAGTAACTGTTTGGAGAAGGTTGTAGGCATTAAAGGAAAAGGAGGAAAATTAAGAGATTTCCACTCAGTTACTAATAATGTAGTGATTAATAATGTAATTCAATGTACAAATATTTTATAAAACAACTTGTATTTGTATAATCTAAGAAATCAATATTACATTTTAGCAATTTATGACTATATTGGTCACATACTATTCTGTGATTAAAACTGGTAATGAACAAGACTGAGGTCCATGCAAGACTGGTCGGTGGTTCCTTCTGTCGGATGTTGGCTCACTCTGAGTCAGAACCGACTGGGCCTAACAGCGGTAACAAGGATTCTGTGTGGTCTGGTACAAGAAGAGGTCTGGCAGGGAGGGTGACACTGGGAGTCACTGCCTGGGTGACATCAACCCTAGTGATGCTGCTGCCTTGCCCCCACCACGTGGGCTAGGAATGCGTGTGCAGTTCTCCAAACCCAGACCTTGACTCCTGGCCCCACTGTCACTCGGGTGGCTCAGCAGTCCCCCAAGTGTACCTGTTTCTGCCTGTAACCTGCTGTGGCACTGTGACTATGCCACCTAGTCCATCTGATTCTATGGGCAAAATACTGAATGATGCAGCAAACATCAAAAAAAGATGGAAGGAAGACAGTGTCACTGTATCAAAAAGAACTGGTCAATGTTCATCTATTTCAGGAGGTGGCATGATTGAGAACCAATGGTACTGAAGGAAGATGATGAAGCTGCACTGAAGGAATTGACAAACAACAAGGCTCCAGGAATTGACGGAATACCATTGAGATGTTTCCACAAATGGATGCCCCAATGGAGGCACTCACTCGGTTATGCCAAGAGATTTGCAAGACAGCTGCCAGGCCAACTGACTGGAAGAGATCCATATTTGTATCCATTCCAAAGAAATGTGATCCTACAGGATGTGGAAATTATCAAACAATATTATTAATATTGCATTCAAGAAAATCTTACTAAAGATAATTCAAAAATGGTTCCAGCAGTATATTGACAGAGCTGGATTCAGAAGACGACATGGAACAAGGGTTATCATTGCTGATGTCAGATGGATCTTGACTCAAAGCAAAGAATACCAGAAAGATGTTTACTTGTGCTTTACTGACTATGCAAAAGGATTTGACTGTGTGGATCATAACAAATTATGGATAACATTAAGAAGAATGGGAATTCCAGACCAGGAGGGGATACTGCATGATTTAAAATCAGGAAGGGAGTGTGTCAGGGTTGTATCCTTTCACCACACTTATTCAATCTGTACGCTGAGCAAATAATCCAAGAAACTGGATTATATGAAGAACGTGGCATCGGGATGGGAGGAAGACCCATTAACCACCTGCGATACACTGACGACACAACTTTGCTTGCTGACAGTGAGGATGACTTGAAGTTTTTACTGATGAAGATTGAAGACTACAGTCTGCAGTATGGATTATACCTCAATATAAAGAAAACAAAAATCCTCACAAATGGACCAATAAGCAGCATCATGATAAATGGAGAAAAGATTGAAGTTGTCAAAGACTTCATATTACTTGGTTCTACAATCAACACCAATGGAAGCAGCAGTCAGGACATCAAACGATGTATAGCACTGGGCAAATCTGCTGCAAAGGACCTCTTTCAAGTGCTGAAGAGCAAAGGTATGTCCTTGAAGACTAAGGTGTGCCTGACACAAGCCATGGTATTTTCAATCACCTCATATCTCGTATGCATGAGAGCTGGACAATGAATAAGGAAGACAAAAGAAGAGTCGATGCTTTTGAGTTGTGGTGGTGATGAAGAATATTGAAAGTACTATGGACTGCTAAATTGTTGTTGCTATGTGCCGAGTCGGACTCGACTCATGGAGACCCCTCCTTGGGTTTCCGAGGTGGTGTCACTACTGAAGTAGATTGCCCAGGCTTCCTTCTGAGGAGTGGCTGGTGGGTTTGAACTGCAGCATTCTGACTAGCAGTCAAGTGCCTTAGGCACTATGCTATCAGAGCTCCTGTGGACTGCTTAAAAGGACTAACGAATCTGTCCTGGAGGAAGTGCAGCCAGAATGCTCCTTGGAAGCGAGAATGGCCAGACTTGGTCTCATCTATTTTGGTCCTGTTGTCAGAAGGGACCATTCCCTGGAGAAGGATGTCGTGCTTGGTAAAGTGGAGGGTCAGTGAAAGAGGGGAAGGCCCTCAATGAGATGGGCTGACAGGGTGGCTGCAGCGATGGGCTCAGGTGTAGCAGGGATCATGAGGCTGGTGCAGGACCGGGCAGTGTTTCGTTCAGCTGTACAGAGTCACTATGAGTCAGAGATGACTTGACCACACCCAACAACACAACAGTCCCTCAGAGCCCCTCCCATCCTCTGTAAAAATGCTTTGCCTGGGCTTGGAGCCCAGGCTCTGGGCAGTGCTTCAGGTTGTGGCCAGCAGGGGGCACCCTGACCCCGAGGCTCACAATGGGAAAAAGCCAGAGCTTTTGTTCCAGTAGAACTGGGGAACCCAGCTCCAGCCTCCCTGCTGCTCCTCTTGCTCCCCACCAGGAGCACTGCTGACCTAGGCTAACCCCCAGATCCTCCCCAAGAGATCCCAAGAATCACCAGGTGGTACAAACAGTAAACGTTTACTGCTGCTCACTGAAAGGCTGGAGGTTTGAGTCTGCTCAGAGGCACCTAGGAAGAAAGGCCTGGCAATCTGCTGCCAAGAAACGGCCTGAAAGCCCTACAAAGCACCAAGCCCTACTCCAGCCCGATGCTGCGGTCAGTTTACTGGTTCCTCCGTCCTACCCGGGTCTGAGCCCAGGTGACCCTTCTCCCCATGACACCCAAACACTTCAACAGGTAAGATGAGGCATCAGTAAGGGACTGGAAGAACCCTGATCCAAAGGGGAAAACAAAGACCTCACGATCCTGATCATTTCAAACCAGAACCATCCTCAAGGTCCACCTCCTCACCTGTCTCATTAGTGAAGGTCTGCTTGTAGCCTTGTGTTCTTGCAAGATCTGCCTGGGATCAAACTGCCAACAGCAACTCAAAATGGAACTCGGGGCCAGTGAGTTTGTTAACTGGGAACTTGGAGCAAGGGGTCAATGGTTACACTGGAACAATGACATCACTGAACTGTCCTGAAGAAACTGTCAGCTTGTCCTTTAACAAATACACTAAATGTTTTCAAATGAATCGATAAATCAAATGGAGTAAAAGACCTGGGACCCAGCCAGCAGGTCATCCCAGGGGAGAGCAGGGTGGTGGGGCCTTGGGGTGCCCTGGGGGAGGGAGGAGGTGAGGCTAAGGCAGCCCCGGGGCCCAGAAACAATCCAGGTCCTGCTAGAGTTCCTCCATGCACCGGGGCCAGGCCAGGTGCCCACCACCTCCACGGCAGGTCACCCTCCAAAGGGCCTGATGCTTTTAGCACTGAACGCCACCCCAGGGGACAAGGTCCCTGCCACCCAGGGCCATGCTGCAGGCCCCCCACAGCCCAGAGGCAGCACAGCACCAGAGGCGGAATCATCTTTATTGATATGCGCAAGAGGGCAGATGAATACCAGCTCTCCCTCAGAGACCCCGAGCCTGACAGTGAGCAGCACCCTCCAGCTCCTCCAGGGCAGCCTCAATCAGCTCACACTGGCACCACCACAGTAAAATAGAAACTTTTATTTAGAATTAAAGCAAATACTTCAGTATCACAAACACAATATTAAACCTCAAGAAATATACTGCTAATTTGGAGTGAGCGTTTATTTGCACAATTACAACATGCGGACACACTCAGGAGAGAGGGACAGCCTGACACTCAACCCAGACAGACAGCAACCACTGGAGACAGCCTTCAGGTCGGTCTGGCCTTCTGCAGGCATGGGGCTGGCATGGCCACTACTCCTCCCCCGAGTCTCTCTCCAGCGTGTAGACCATGAAGCAGGCATCGGGTCTCTTGGGGACAATGGGATGCCCCGGTCTCACAATCTCAAAGCCCAAAAAGCTGAAGGTACGGAGCAATGCGGCTGCGGGGAGATGGGTCTGTCAGCGCGGCCCACCCCCCCAGGACCCCTCCCCGAGACAGCAACCAGATACCGGAGGGTGAGAGCAGGGCTGGGGTGACAGCACGGCCACGTGTGCCACTGAGGTGCAGGGGACCCCTACCTCTGTCATCTCGGTTCTTGTGGAAGCAAATGAAGACATGGTCCACGCGGAGCTGCTCCTCAGCAAACTCGAGGAGAACTGCGAGACTGGAGCCAGGGCGCTGTCAGGGCTGCCCCGCGCCCCCCGCCCCTCTCCCGCCCGGGGCCGTGCCCAGAGAGCGCCCGCCTGGGGTCCAGTCAGGCTGCCCCCTTGACACTTACACAGGGACTGTACTGCACACCACGGGGTGTTGAGCGGCATCTCTGGCCTCCAACCCACTTGATGCCAGTAGCAGTTCCTACAGTCGTGGTACCCACAAATGTCCCCAAACATCACCGTGTCCCTGGTGCAGGACCACCCCAGATGAGGCCCACTGGCCTACACCTTAAAAAGACCACAGCTGCCTCTCCTGACTCAGCCTCCCTCCTCGCCAGCTGAGCCAGCAGCAGTGTTTCCACCCGCGGCCCTCACCTGTCTTTGCTCCCCTCGGGCAGGGCACCACCTGGGATCTCCACGTAGAGGCTGCTGCCGCTGAGCACAGCCCTCCAGGTGATGCGTTTGGCATCGGTGAGCCTGGACTGGATGTTAAGAATCCTTGTCTTGTCGTTCGACGCTAGTTCCTCTGTCACATTCAGCCGATTATCCTGGGGAGGGCAGGAGAGCGCCCCAGCCTGGGTGAGACCGCCCCCACACACGGGGCCTCCCACCCCTCGCTACTGGGAGCAGACCCCTGCGGTCGGATGGTAATGTGAAAAATCCAGGGGGGCACCCAGAAGACCAAAGATGCCCGGTCCACGGCCTGATGGGGGGGCTGGCCCACAGCTACTGGGGAGTCCTGGCCACCCTGGGACCCGGGTTACAAACTGAACATGAGGATTACATAAATTGTGTACTGTTTACACGGAACTCCTCATATACAGCCGGGGGACGAAACATCACCCCCCAGACAAGCCGACGCCTGAGTTCTCACCGACTCAAGGGACCGCACATACTTACAGAGTAAAATAAATTAGCTGAAAGATTGTGATCCCTCTGACTATTCCCTCGCCCACCTGGGATCTTCAGGGGTGGGTGAGGGGCATCAGGAGCACCACCGAGGCCCCGGACCCAGGTTACTACAGCAATTGAGGGGGACCCTGGAACTGGAGGAGAACAGAGTTGTTAGCAGATCATTTCACCTGAGCATATCCTGGGCTAGAGCATCTTTACTTGACAAGACCCCGGGGTCACAGAGACACTGGAGCCCACCGCCTGCCACTGCCCAACCTCCCAGGGCTGTCTCCCAAGGTCATGTTCACACTGGTGGCTAAACCAACCAAGCCCACACCCAGGACCACCTCCCCAGGCACTCATATATTATCAATTAGTATTTAAAGCTGCCCCCATGGGGTGGAAATGCTCCATGGCGCTCCCAGGCAGCTCTGGCCAGTTTGGTTGACTTCCCTTCTGAGCTTTTTACAAACAAGCACCGTATGTGCCCCCCTCCTGCCTGACACCGAGTTTTACTTCCCACTTCTATCCCCAGCCACTTCCCTTTTTCGTTCTGAACGAGAAAAATTCGAGCTTTTTCTTAAGAGTCCAGCAACCGATCCTTTTAAACAAGGAACCCGCTCAGCCATAAACTTTATCATGTGTCATCCAGCACGTAATCAAAGGACGACTCGGGACGTTTTTTATAAACCTTCCAAACAATAAACCCAACACCCGTGGATTCCTCCAGACACCCGAGGCCACACGTCCCCCGGTCCTACGGGCACGGGGTCCAAGCTGGTCGTTCGCCAGCAGCGTCTGTCCCCTCCCCCGCGCGGCTGCGTCATCGGCAGATGGCCCGGCGCCCCGGGGAGGTTTTCACAATCGCGCAGCGGAGCGCCAGCAGCCATTTGCTGCGCGGTGTAAACAGGGCCCGGAGCCGTCTCCATTTTGTACGGCTCGGTCCCAGGCCCGGCCCCCGGGGCGGCACGGCCCGTCGCGGTGCCCACCGACACCCGATCTCGGGAAAGCGCTGGGGAGGGCACCCCCTCGCCCCCCGCCGGACGTCCGGCCCCTCCGGGATGTGGCGCCCCCAAGCCGACCCCGGGCGTCGACGTGGCGCCTGCATCTGTCGAGTCTGCGGCCCGCGAAGCATCACATTCCCGCGGCCACCCGCGTCTGCGCGACCGTTAAGCGCAGAATCTCGGGGTTCGCGGGCCCGACCACACCTCAAATCGGGACTAACGGGACGACGCTCCCCAGCGTCCACCCCCAGGTCCGGAGTTCGGTCCCCCCCATCCAGCCGGCCTAGAAGAACCGTCCCCCGCCCCGGGTTGAGCCCAATAGCCCCCGTGCCCCGCCCCCCCTGACGAGCCCAGTGCTGTTCGGCGCCCGACCCACCCCAAACCCGACTCCAACACAGGGCACGGCAATGAGTGGGAACCCCTCGTCGACCCACTGCCGAGCCCGGAGTCCCCCTGACTGGCCTCTCGAGGACCCTTCACCCATCCTACCCCGAGGAATAGTGTGGGCGTCTTCCCTGTCCCCGCCCCAACCGAGAACCTGCCCCCGCGATCAATGGAAACTTAGATAAAAAGGAGGACCTAGCGCTCCTGGAACTTATGTGGCGCCCCGGGGCGGCCCCTGCGGGCCTGCGCTTCTGGAAGCTTCGGGCGGGGGTGGGGCGCTCACCTCTCGCTGCTGCGGCCGCCGCGGCTGTGCAGGCTAAGGAGCGGCATGGTGCGGCTGGCGTGGACGGTGGCGCTGGGTTTATTCCCTTCCTTCTCTCTGGCGAAGCAGTGGCTGTTGAGGATCCGCTGCAGGGAGGATTTCACCATCCGGCCGCTGGGGTCCGAAACCAGGAAAACCTCCGCTGCACCACTCCGCGCCGCCGCCGCTGTTCGCCGTTCACAAAATGGCGCCGCCGCCGCCGCCCGCCTTTATAGTCATCGCGTCCGGCCACGCCCCCACGCCCTCGGGAACGCGCCCGCAGAGGCGGTGGGGAAAACTGTGCGCGCCTGCCCTTTCCGGAGTCTGATTGGTAGCGGCCTGGAGCCAGGGGCGGGGCAGCATCGCGGAATGGCTAGGCCTCTTTAAGTCCCGCCCCAGCTCCCGTCACTCTGAGGATGAACGAGGGGCGGGGCCGCGGCGGCGCCGGGTACGCGCTGCGCGTGCCCGCCCCGCCCCCACAGCCAGGCTTCGGGTCCCGGTGTCTCGCTGGGACCTGTTTTCCGGGGAGTCGCGGGACCTCGTGGTGACCCGGTCTCCCGCTGTCATCGCCGCTGCCTTTCACCCAGCGGGACCCCTCCCTGGAGCGGCTGGGCGGCGAAAAAAGCCCCCTTAGTATTAGGGAAGGGGGGTGTCGGGGGTGGGGGGGCGGTCCCAGCACCCCGCCCGCATAGGACAAACGTGTTTTTAGTAGTAATCTCGTAATAATTGGTGGTCATTGTTATTTACTTGATTCGATCTTTTAGTTTTTATACAAACTAAAATTTCAACTTTCAATGTGAAAGATACACTAATTTAAAAAAATTAAAACACTTGGTGTGTGAAGTCCTTCGGACTTGTCCAAGCTGTAACTCTCAGATAAATTGAGACACACACCTCGTGTATGGAATAAAATTTGGGCGTCACCAACCAAAAAGATTCCACCTTGCTGTTAAATTCAGCAAGACATCTGGCGGAGGGAGTAAAATAGGGAAGTAGTAGCAAAAATATTCCATCTTGTGGTTAAATTCAGTAAAATATTTCACTTATGAGTTAAATTTGAACACACCAAGAAAATATATCCCAGATTGTCTCAGCGTTTTAAAATTTTTAGCACAAATACGAACTTTAAGAGGTTGCTTGCGACTGAAGCAATGCTTCTCTGCTTTTGGTTTTGTTTTCAGGTTTTGTCTTTACAATTCTTGGTCCCCGTTTTTATTTCCGATCACCCAGACCCATTCAGGAATGCATAGTACCCGTTCTGTCATTACTACCAGGCTTTGTGCAGTTGCTGGCCAAGACAGGCTCCCTTTGGAATCATTGTGGGCAGAGGAGGGGAGGGGGTCGCAGCTTCTCAGTGAAAAACAAACTGGCAGGACTTGTGGAAACATGAGGGCAAGTCTTCTTAAGACCAAACATCCCAAACCATTGCCAGTGACCCCTACAGCACGGGGTAGACCGCCCCAGGGGGTTTCCAAGGCTGTGAACCTTTACCGAAGTGGATTCATCTTTCTACCTTGCAAAGGCTGGTGGGTTTGAGCAAACAGCCAACCTTTCTGTTAGCCGAATGCTTTAACCAGTGCACCACCAGAGCTCCTTAAGCAAGCAGTGGTTCAGCTTCACTAGTAAAGACTGCCTGCCGTGAGCACTGGGCTCTTTTGAGAACTCTTTCTGTGGGATCAAATTGACAACTGCAAAGGTCAGACAGGAAGCTCAGGGGCAGAGTTCATGTTCACAGGAGAACAACTTGCAAAAGGAGGGTGAAGATGGTTGCACTCTGCCACCAGAGCCCCCTGTCTCATAGCAACAACAAACATAAAATATGTTATTTAAAATAAAAATAATGTTGCAATATCCATTGTATCGTTTGATAATTTCCACATTCTATTGGATCATTTTCTTTGGAACGGGCACAGACTTCAAACTCTTCCAGTCAGTTGGCCAAGAAGTTGTCTTCCAAATATCTTGACATAAACACATAGCCTGACAGACCTATAGACGCGTGGTGGAAGTGGATAGATAGATAGACAGTAAATTGCTGAACACATACATCGATGCCATCAAATCCCTCTGATTCATGGCGACTTTATGTGCGACAGAATGAAACGCCACCCGGTCCTGTGTTCTCAGGACGGCCAGCGCGTTTGAGTTGTCCCGATCCGTCTCCCTGGGGGTCTCCCTCACCCTGGTCAGCCCTCTCTTCACCAAGCATGATGGTCTCTTTCTGCAGTCGGTCTCTCCTGATGACGTGTCCTGACCCGGCGAGGCGGGCAGTGTTCTGTGTGATTCACACGATTCTCACCCACAGCTTTTCAGACCACCAGTCCTTTGCTCCTAGCCCATCTTAGACTCCAAGGGCCGATGACACCCGTCCACCCTGGGAGACTCTGCTGGTATCTGAAACCCGGACGGCATGACTCCAACAGCACAGCAGCATACAAGCCGACACGGTTGTTGTTGTTTGCGGTCGAGTCGGCCCCAACTCATAGCGACCCCTCCTTGGGTTTCCGAGGCAGTATCACTACGGAAGTAGGATTGCCCAACCTTCCTTCCGAGGAGTGGCTGGTGGGTTTGAACCGCCAGCCTTCTGGTTAGCAGTCAAGTGCCTTAGCCACTATGCTACCAGAGCTCCTAGCCGACACGGTAAGACACGTTTACGGCGGGTGCTGGGCAGAGGCGAGAGAGGCTATTGGTGTTATCGTCGGCTATGCCTCGGAAACCCAAGGAGGGGTCGCTATGAGTCGGGGCCGACTCGACGGCAAACAACAACAACAACAACAATGCTCATAGCAACCCCGTGTGCAACCGAACGAAACACGGCCCGGTCCTGCGCCAGCCTCAAGATCCCTGCTGTGCCTGAGCCCATCCTCGTAGCCACTGTGTCCGTCCATCTCATTGAGGGCCTTCCCCTTCTGTGCTCACCCTCCACCCTACCAAGCATGATACCCTTCCAGGGAATGGTCCCTTCTGACAACATGACCAAAGTAGGTGAGACGAAATCTGGCCATTCTCGCTTCCAAGGAGCATTCCGGCTGCACTCCTTCCAGGACACATTTGTTAGACTTTTAAAAGACCATGGTACTCTTAGCATTCTTCTCCAGCACCACAACTCAAAAGCATCAACTCTCCTTTGGTCTTTCTTACTTATTGTCCAGCTCTCACATACGGAAGAGGCGATTGAAAGCACCATGGCTTGTGTCAAGTGCACCGTAGGCTTCAAGAAGACATCTTTGCTCTTCAGCACTCGTTCTGGTTCCCTGGTGTCGCTCTGACAGGAATATACCACCAATGGGATGGCCTTAACAAACAGGAGTTTATTCTTACAATTTGGAGGCTTTAAGTCCAAGTTCCAAGTGCCTGGCTCTAGGGGCTGGGTGAAAGCCCCTCAATCTTGGGGTCCAGCTCTGCCTCCTGCTCCCGGCCCACTGGAGCTAGAGGCGTTTCTTCACTCAGACAGCTGCTGGCTGCTGAGGCTGAGAAGCCCAAGGTTGACAAGTAAAAAGGCACAGTCCTGATGTTACCAAACTACACGGCAGGCCATTAACTTAAGTCCATTGTAAGTCCCAAGGTCGGCAGAGCATGGCAGGCTGCTGAGCAACGACACGGCTACATGCAGGGTCCAAGCGTGCCATAGGCTAGAGACCGTTCCCAAGGCTTATCCTTATCTACAGGAAGCAGACCACATCCCAAAGGCAGCTACTCAGCTGCTCCCAGTAGATCCCACCATGGAGTTGATTGCCAGCCTCATCATGGGGAATACTACATCCAGCTGCCCAGCCACTCAACCAGGCCCAGCCACGCTGACACACAAACTGAACTACCACATCACTTGAAAGAGGTCCATTGCAGCAGATTTGCCCAATGCAATACATCATCTCATGTCTTGACTGCTGCTTCCATTGATGTCAATTGTAGAACCAAGTAATACAAAGTCCTTGACAACTTCAATCTTTTCTCCATTTATTGTGATGCTGCTTATTGGTCCAGTTGTGAGGATTTTTTTCTTTATATCGAGGTGTAATCCATACTGCAGACTGTAGTCTTTGATCTTCACCAGTAAGTGCTTCAAGTCATCCTCACTTTCAGCAAGCAAGGTTGTGTCCTCTGTGTATCGCAGGTTGTTAAATGAGTCTTCCTCCAATCCGGATGCATAGTTCAAAATCAAGAAGGAAGTGTGTCAAGGTTGCATCCTTTCACCATACTTAACCATACTTATTCAACTTGTGTGCTGAGCAGATAATCCGAGAAGCGGGACTACATGAAGAAGAACATGGCATCAGGATGGACAGGAAATGAAGAAGCAGGTTTTCTGCGAGAGGCTGGCCAGCTGCCTGTCCCCGTGACCCTTTTCCCCATAACAATGCAAGTAGCAGCTCTGGCGGCATTTGACCGCTAATCAGCAGCTTGGCGGTTCGACCCCACCAGCTGCTCTGCAGAAGGAAGATGGGGCCATGTACTTCCACAAAGCTTTACAGACTGGGACCCAACAGGAGGCGCTGAGTCGGAATCAAGTCCAGGGCAGGGGGTTGGGTTTCTCTGGTTTGGGGGTAACAGGGATGCTGGGAAGAGACACTCACGTGGGATGCTGCTTGTGTTGGGGGACAAGCCGAGGTGCCCAGCCACCCCCCCAAGCCTGGCAAACATCAAGGGCAGACCCAAACCTCCTCCGACATCTTCTCCTACTCCAGTGGTTTGCTTGGTGTTGGGTCTGATTAATTTTCACCATGGGAATTGGGGGCTAGATATTGCTCAGTTGTGGGGGGCTGTCCTGGGCTTTGTGGGTGTTAAGCAGCATCTCTGGCCTGCACCACTCGAGGCCAGTAGCACCCTCAAGTCAGGCACCCACCAATGTCTCCACATGTCACCCAAGGTCCCTTGGGGGCAGAATCATCCCAGATGAGGACCCTTGGGTTAGGAAGAGATTCTATGTCCTGTGATCCTCTGATCTCCTGACGTCCCAGGACGCTGCCCACATTTGAATCCAGACACTGGGTGCGGAGGAGGGCGGAGGGGAATAATCGGAGCTGAGGTTCTCCCTGGTCACAGCCTCTGACCCCCCAGGGGTTTATCCCGGTGCGCAGTGTTAGCAGGGATCAGGCTCAACTTTTTTTGTTTACAAATAGTTAACACA